AGGGAATTGTCCCCATATGTGAATTAATTGGATATGTGCTATATGCGGGGGCTACGTACGCACGAGGTGACGAGAGTCCGTGCGTAGCTACTATTATGTTTATATCCGGGTACTCTAGGACCCAAAAGCGTGCTTTACTTGTAATACTTGTAACCTTATTGTTAGTTTAAATTGCTTAAATCATATCGAAGTGGCAAATGACTTTGTAAAAGAGTTAAACTTCATTTTCTTGACTTGTTAAAGAGAAATTTACACCTCCTTGAATAATTGTTTCCCTGATAAAGTCTTGATTGACTGTTAAAATGTGTGTTTCTATGTGTACCTGCGTCGCATGTATGATTCGTGAGTAGGGTGATTGTTTATTTATATTTGACCGCGTCGCATGTATGATTCGCGAGCGGGATAATAGATGCATCTATGGTTCGCATTCGACCCTCTGGCAGTGCACAATTTAAATATTATTGGATCGGACCGTAGTCTCGGCATGATTTGCGCATGCTTGTAATGTTTGCCTTGAGATTTATAAATGTTGATATTCGTTCTCCCTGGCCTTAGATAAATGTACAAATGATGAAAAGGAATCTGAAAATTTCCTATGAAAGAAAGAATTATTTATTTGCTTTATTCTATTGAGTTGCAACCATGTTTATAAAATCTTTGATTTATTATATTATTGGCGTATTATTATTGGACCACTAGTAAGTGTCGAAGTCGACATCTCGTCTCTACTTCTTCGAGATTAGACAGGATACTTACTGAGTACACGTTGTTTTCATCTCATCTGCACTTGCTGTGCATTTTTGTTGCATAGGCACATGTATCTCTAGTGGCCTAGTGGGCGTAGTAGCATGGATGATACGGAGACTAGGTGAGCTGCATTCCTCGAGGCGACCCGCAGCCAGTATAGTCTCTTTCATTGTATTGTAATTGCTTTCTGTCCAATTTGTATTCCGGACAATTATTGTACTTTATTTGATTTTTTAGTGATTGCTCATGCACTTGTGACACCGGATTCTGGGATGATTATGGGATTATTTAACATTAAGTTTGTTAAAGACATCAGTATCTATTCAGTGAAATTCATTACTCATTGTTTAATGTATAAAGGAAACGATTTCAAAAATATTAAAACAAGAAATTACTAGTAAATTGGTGTTGGCTTGCCTGGCAATGGTGTCCGGCGCCATCACGACCTTTAGTGGATTTTGGGTTGTGACATTAACTAAGGCCAAATATATATACAATCCATTCAACTTGGCCCCATTTTTCATCTTGGCACTCTATCTCAACCTTGTTCCATTTTGGCCCTCCAACTCTATTTTATACGTTTCAATTTGGCCCTCCAACTCTATTTCTTATGTTCCACTTTAACACAAAAGCTGAAACCAGTGCAAAAAATATAGCGCGTGTGCATACGCAAATCTGAGGTGTAATAAATATACAATTAAATGTTGCCACATAATTTTTTCATCCATGTCAAACGGTTCAATACCAAAATACCCGAACCCGACCGTATATTTTCATCCACTATTGCCCCATCTTCATTCTCAAAGTTCTAAAGCTTTCATCTGCCGATTTCATACCTGGCCATCCCGAAAATTTTAAACTTTTGCAATTTTATTGTTCGTTTGTTTATTCTGATTTTTTTTTGTATGGGTTTATTTCATCTAAGCTTGAAGTTTGAAGTGAATCCATGTCTCAAAGAAAATTATTTTTCATAATGGAATGAATATTTGTTCTTGTGGATTTCAAGTTGAACTGAAAGTATCGTGGACACCAAGAAATCCAGGTCAACGCTTTTATGGGTGTAAATTCGACAAAGTAAGTGAACCATTTCCGAATTTCATTTTCAGTGTTGTCATTTTCTTGTGTAAATAAGAAGCGGACTTAATTTTGCCCAAATACGATCGGGTTCAAGTATTTTAGTATTGACCCGTTTGACATGGATAAAAAAAACCATGTGGCAACGTTTAATTAGATATTTATTACACCTCAGATTTGTGTATACACACACGCTATATTTTTTGCACTGGTTTCAACTTTTGTGTTAAAGTGGAACATAAAAAATAGAGTTGGAGGGCCAAAATGGAACATATAAAATAGAGTTGATGGGCCAAAATGGAACAAGATTGAGATAGAGCGCGAAAATGAAAAATAGTGCCAAGTTAAATGGCTTATTTGAGTAAAATATAAAATAGAAACAGAAATGCAGTATCCATGCCAGTAACTCTTAAACTTTGCACTAATTTGTCATTTAAGAAGACATTTTACAGTACACTGATGCTTCTTCCTTCTTACAAATATTGCCATTCAACTTATAATAAGAAAATAGCACCTTGTTGGAGTATGATGATTAGCACATTACACATAAGTTCTATTTCTTGTTCCAGTTCCATTCATAACAACAAAGCCATACTATCTATTAGGGGTGTATATAGGTCGGTTGGTTTGGATTTTGCAATTACCAAACCAAACCAATTGTGCCGGGTCATTAAATATAAAGACCAAAACTAATAAAACTTGGGGTTTTTCAATCTCGATTTTTCTCGGGTTTTCGGGTTATCCGGGTTTTTCCGAGTTATTCCAGTAAAATCTTCGTAGCACAAAACATATAAATTGTGCTCAAAATATTTCTTTAATCCTAGTAAGATACAATTATATAAAGTATTTTCCAAGAAAATAATACAAATATGAGATGTGTCATGGCATTATCCTAAAATATTCAACAATAAAGACAATAAAATTATGTAATATAAATATTGCTAATTAAAAAGCCATAATAAGAATAAACATAATCTAAAAGTACTAAGTCAGGCTAAAATAGGTAGACTAATAAGGGAGTATTAATTAGATGACTAAACGCTTAAAAAAAAAATATAGGTTATGCATTTTATCTAAATTATTGCAAAACAAAAAATAGATATTCAATACATTGTCGTTCGTAGTATTGAATTAAATGTCTTTTGTTAGCATTAGTATTGATTTGATTTTGGTTTGGGCTTTTGTTAGCATTATTTAAGTTACTTAATAGGAAATTTTACACCCTATAGAAAAGCTTAGTACCCTATTTATTTTTAAATAAATATCATTTTAAAAAATTATATTATATAGCTACCTTTTACCCTTTATAGCAAAATATCTAATTATAGTTATATCCTACACTTAAGGCACCATATACGCTAATTAATATTTTTCTCTCTCCTTTTCCAGATTTTCTCTCACATAATCACGGTAAATTTCACAAACCACATTCTCTCTCTATTTTTGCGTACACTTTACTCTCTTCTCCCACAAAACCACGATTGTTGCCTCTGTTCGTTGCCCTAGTGGTTATAGCAGAGATTTCTTTTCTGGTTCGACTCGACGTAGTCATACCTCAATCATGGCTGCAACGGATATACGAATGGATTGAATGCAAAGAGCACGCGAAGGAACAGTGATTCCCAGGCTCAAATTTGTTTCGCTATTCAAAATCAACGGCCTTTTCTTCTAAACCCTACTCTTGAACAAAAGAAGGTAAAATTATGGAAATTTTACAAAAGCTACGATGGTACTGATGTGTCAAAAGCAATGTACAAGATGCGTGGGAACAGTGAGATTCAGGGTTTTTGCTCGACGGAGGATTCGTCGGAAATTAGGGTTTGTTCTTGAACTAAGTAGTGGGTTCTTGAACAAAGACAATGTATTTTCAACGTATCACGCTGTATTTTCATGTATTTCATTGTATTGATTTTTTTTTCATTGTAATTCAATGTATTTCGTTGTATTCCATGTATTTCATTGTATTTACTATCTTTTTTTCATTGTATTTCGATGTATCCCGTTGTATTCTATGTATGTCATTGTATTCACTGTCTCGCTATATGCCATGAATATATTCATATGTTTTTTTTAATTAATATAATTTATGTATTCAGATGCATTATATAATTTCTCTGAAGATTGCTATGTTTTTGGTGTATTTTTCGGTTGAAATCTTTTTTATAAGTGAAAATACAAAATTTATGTGCTATAATTGAGTTTGTTGAGTTATATTAGGAGTCTATTATGTTAATTGATTCAATTTCCGTTTTAAAAACAGTGTAATCCCCTATTTCACGCCGTGAATACAGTCGAATACAGTCGAATACAATAATATGTCCAGCTGTAATCCCACGTTTTACTCCATGAATACAGTCGAATACACTCGAATACAACAACTGAATAGCTGGACTTCCCTGATTCACGCCTATTTTTGCTACTGTATTCATGAATACAATAGCTTAAATACATCAAATACATCTTATAACCACAGAAAAGGTATCTATAATCCGTAATATAGCAAATGGTATCTATAGATGGCTAATTACTACTAAAAGATAGTGCTTTATGAAAATTTCTCTACTTAATAGCTATAAAACTTATTGGAACATTCAAAAGTTCTAAGTCCAACCTTGAAATAATACCTTAAAAGATATAACTATGAAAAAATTTAAGAAATATTTATAAATTACATCACAATAAGTATATTTATATATTAAATATATCTAAAATTTCTATATATATGTAATGTCGGGTTGGTTTGATTTCGGTTTGACTTTCTTTAGTTAAAACCAAACCAAACCAATTATTGTCGGGTTTTTTTTTTCCAACACCAAACCAAATCAAACCAAACCATAATCGAATTTTTTTTTCTCGGTTTGACTCGGATTATCGGATTGGTGCGGTTTGTCGGTTTCCTTTGCACACCCCTACTATCTATGGGACGGCAGGGGGAAACTTCTGTAAGAAAAAGAGGAAATATTACTTTTACAAATTATTATTATTAAGTTCTCAACTAGCTGAAGAATGGGGCTCTAGCCATTCATGGAGATGAAGTTTCAATATGACAACTGGAAGTTCTTTCTATTAATTACCCGGCAGCCACTGTCGAGACACATAGTTCAAAACCTACTCAAAGAAAATAAGTTTAATCCACATTAATTCTAGAAACACAATTAAGCCGTTATAAAAACTTTCAAGAACTGGGACAGGTGCGCGGTGGCGTTCATTAGATCACTTGGTAATATAATCAGTTAATCACCAACAAAAAGGTACGATAATATTTATTGAACATTCCTGCCAAAGGCCGAAGCCCGCAGGCATTAAAAACAAAGCATATGTACAAAACACTATGTAGGGATTACCAACTCCAACTACTACAACAATATGCATCGAACAAGATGCTGCAAAAAGTAGCACACACATAAACACTAGATACTTCAACCTTTATTAAATCCTGCAAGAGCGGGCAGGCCACAAATTCTTCAGTGTAATACCAAACAATCTTGAGGCATATGTGACGCAACTTGCGGACCAGGAGAATCTGGAATTTCCTTCTCTGGATTGATGGTTTTATCCTCCGCTTCTTGCAAATCAGCTGCTTCAGCAATATAACCCTTCACTTCTTGGAATCTCTCCTCCGATAAAGAAACTTCAGAAAGAAGTTTCAACGCATATTCCTCTGATGCATCATTGTAATCTTTTCTTCGCTTAAGCACCATATGTCCACTAATTTCCCACACAGCAGGGTTCACCTGAGTATCGAGGAGCTCCTGGTCTACAACTCCAAGTGCTTGCTTCTCTGCATAACACTAAGCAATCATCCCAGAAAAAGATGAAGTAAGCTTCTTTAACCATCAAAGAGAGATTTGAAAGCACAGTCCAAAAATTTCTATTTTCAAAATGAGAACCCCGTGTTCATGCACATTTTCCCTGCTATTCTACTATAACTGAAACTCGGTTCTAAAACAAGTTAAAAGTTGAGTGTTTCGAGTTCTCCCGCTACTTAATTGACAACTAATGCTAAAAGATCAAATGTTGAACTAATTGCTTTTATTTTCGCTATGATATTGGTGAAGAACCTTATTTCTTTGCTGCACAGTTGTTGACAGTTGCTGAGCAATCATGGGAAAAATAATGTCATATGTGTGAAGGATATAAAGATAGTTTCTACTTTGCAGCTGATAGGAACGCAGATTCTAGTGGAACCATCCATATCTCCAGTGGTGCACCTTGAGGCAATGCTTGGCTCTTTGCGCAACCAGGTTGAGCAATGTCCAACAATGTGAACACCCAGCTTGTCTTTTGTGTTTTTAGCTGAGGTTTTTGCCTTCTTGTGCTTCTAGGATGTGTGGCTTTTGGTAATATTTTCGTCTATTTTTGCCCTTAAAATTTCTAACTAATGAGGGGTAATTTAGTAATCTTAAGACTATTGTTTGCTTAGTTAAATTTATAGAAAAGAGCAAACTAATCAGCAAGCCGTAGTCTGCAAACCCTCTGTCATCTCTCTATGATGCGGTTGCAGTAGTCAACAAGAATCTACAAGGTTTTGACTCAGTTAAACCAAGTTCTTGGAAAATCTCATCCAGGTTTTGTATTTGCCAACTAGAAAGCTAGAGAGGACAAATATAGGGATTTAATCTGGGACTTGTCCAGACGAAATGTTACTCATTGTCCACATCCCATGCAAGCAGCCTTGGTGCTTGTAGAAGTGGCTTCTCCTCAGGAGAACCCAAGTGAGATCAACAGGAATCCAGTAAATTGGCATGGACTATCAAATCTGACTAGCTTAATCAGATGATCATATTTATAAGAGCAAACTTGTATCTAAAGCCTCTATCAGTCTCCTCTCTCATCTTCTCTCATCTTATTGCTCTATTTCAACTGTAGCTGCTGCATTGGCAACACCAATAGCTGGTGCTCAGATATGTTGTCTATCTATTCTTTTTGCTGTTATGTTTCCTCTCTAGTAGTGTTACTTCTAATAGTTCCTACTTGATGTTTGGCTATAATTCCATATTTTAGTGCATTACTTACTTTACATTTTGATGTTTTAATAATTAATTGTGCGACATTTTAGCTTAATTGAGTTATTTTTATGTGTAGGATCGTTGGAATGCATAAAGGAATGAAAGTTGCACAAAAGATGTTGAAGACACAAGAAAAAAGCACGAAAAGGAGAAAGTCGGAACAAGGCAAAAGTACCTCGGCCCAGGCCTCACCTCGCCTGGCTTAAGGCGAGATGCTACCTCGCTCCAGGCCTCGCCCCGCCTAGCGTAAGGCGATCTCAACCAGGCCTTCCACCAGGCCTCACCTGGCTTAAGGCCTGGTCCCCCAGTCCGCGAATAAATTGTTTTCTACTCAGTTTTGGACTTGGAGACTTCGATCCTAGCCTATAAATACTCCCTAAACATGTCTGAGAAGGGAGTTGGACGTTTTGAGAGGGAACTTTTGACGAAGAGAAAGCAGAGAGCCGCCGTGGAGGCCGGGTTTCATCTTTCTTCCACTAAACATAGTAATTTTTATGTTTCTTCGGATGATTTGTTGTTTTGCTACCATGCCTATGCGGAGCTAAACTTCACGTTCTAGGGTTGTGGTTGTCATGAATATTGAAGTTTATTAATTACATCACCGTTAATTCGAGTTACCATCGTTGGTTGTTTCTCTAATTCTATGCATAATTGCTTAATTGTTTGGCCAACAGTTTGAGTTCTATTTACTATCTATCTATGCTTGGGAAAGCCGTGTTTAGATTAGAGTAGAATTAGAGAAAACTTGTTTCTGAACCCGTGACTCGGGGAAAGATTCGCGGTTAGGATAGGAATATACCTAACAGTCTTGCTTAGTTGAATGCTGTATTTTCGTCGTTCATGATATATTCAATTAGGGGTGTCAATGGTTCGGTTCGACAGGTTATTTTATAAAATTTATACCATACCAATTCTTCGGTTATTCTGTTGTATATAACCAAAATTAGACTTCTTAAAATTGCCTTAATCATGTTGGTTTCTCTTCGGTATTGGTACGGCTCGGTTAATTCTCGGTATTTTATTAAATATCATGTAAAAGTCACTAGTAGAAGTATAATGCAATAACATACGTACTTTAATATGACTTAGCAAAAGTCTCTAGATATTTTTACTGTTTAAAGGATAATGAATTAAGAAAATATCAAAGATGGTTAGAGTATAGATCTATCAACTATTCTACAGCAACGTAAAAGAAACTAAGTAAAGACAAAGAAAATATAAATCACACGAGTGAAAGATATCAACCAAGCTGGGACTCAAGAATAAAGTCTATAGAAGATTAAATATTCAAAAAGATAAATCTAAATCATACGAAAGAAAACATATTCAAAATATTGTAGTTTGCTACTCATAATCGCTAGAATACCTTGTATCTTGCTAGTAAATATGCTGAAAATAATTTAGTTTCAACAGGAGTAGCATAATAGGTTTGAGAATTAGGACTTAAAGTTTAATTACTTGTTGGCTTGCAACTGTTTTCATAGTTCCAAAATCCAATAGAAAATCTAATGCTTTATTATTTTTAAACTTAACATATAAATATATTTTTCACATGTGAATTTTTTCGATGTCGTTCACTAATTTTTTAGGTTTATTTTCATAAAATAAAAAACTACCCTAATTATCGATACTGTTATAGATTTATATAAAAACCTAGGGTTCTATTTTAAAAAAAAACTAAAAATCGATACAGTATGGTACGATTCGGTAGATTTAGTTGGTTTTTAAATATCCATTGACACCCCTAGATTCAATACCATAGGAATATAAGACTGATATATTGTGGATAGACGGATAGTATTGTGGAAACATGCCATTTATATAAACGATCCGTCAACTAGCAACCATAGATAATTCGGATGAACAAGTTTAGTTACGAACTCAATAGGATTGATAAACCAACCACAATCCTAGAATCTTCATCTCATCTGATTAAAATCCCATCACAATCTCTTGCTTTGTGTTAGTATTAGCTATTTACTTGCTTAATTTCTGCAAAAGTAGTTTAGTAGAAAAACTATCACTTTTGATTATCTTGGACAGTTAATTGATTTTACTTATAGCTTAGTCAACAATTATTCTAAGTCTTTGTGTTCGACATCCGACTTTCGAGTAGCTTTATTACTTGACGGCCATGTATACTTGCATATACTTGGGAAACCAACAAGTTATTGGCGCGGTTGCCGGGGACTTAGCAATTGATTGTTTAATCGAGTTAATTTCTTATCCGTTTTTTGTCCAAGTTTTGACTTGTTTGATTTACCTGACCTCCTTCAGGCACTTGGAAGTGAATGTCAGGGAAGAAAAACGAGGGTAAAGATAAACTTGAACCATTTGAAAACGAACCTAAGAGACTGTTCCATAGAAACAAGAAAGCAGCAAAAGAAGCCAAAGAGGCTGAGGAAGCAGCGAGATTGGCAGCACAGGTTGAGGGAATAGAAAATCATTATGCAATTGTTGAACTTCCGCAACCTGTAAGAATGGTAGACAACCAAGACCTACCAACGATCGCAGTGCAAGGCCCAGCCTTGCGAATATGACACACGCCATTGTCAAACCAGCCATCACAGGCCACTTTGAGCTCAAACAATATATGGTGCAACTAATACACTCCCAAGGTCAATATGTGAGGCTACCACATGAAGATCCACAGAGGCACATTCAAAGTTTTCTGGAGATCACAGATACTTACGATTTCCCAAATCTCTGCGGATTATGTCAGGATAACATTATTTCCCTTCTCACTTTTGGGGGAAGCAAAGGAGTGGTTATAAAAGGAGCCTGCAAATTCAATCAGAACCTGGGATGATCTAGCAAGGAAGTTCTTGATAAAATTCTTCCCATCTCGAAAGACGAAATCACTAAGGAGCCAGATATGTGGATTCCAGCAAAAGGAGGGCGAGACTCTTCGCCAACAGTGTTATGAAAGGCGCGCTTAAGCCCTGAAGCGAGGCTCAAAACATGTTGAGTGCTTCGCCTCGCTTTGTGGGTGCTTATTGCATCAAGGCTCTGAGTCATACTTTTCCTTGCCAATGAGTGTAATCCTGAAAAGGCAACATTAAACCGTTGATATTTCACTTTATCGTAATTTTTTTCCAATTTCTTTGTCCATATATTTGTTATTCATACTTATAATTATTAGTCTTGCATTACATATACATAATTTTACTTTTTCTCCAGTTGCACCTTTTTTCACTAAAGCTCACGCTTTATTTGCGCTTTGCGCTTAAAGCCCCAATGGACCTTAGAGCTTTTCTGCGCTTTTCGCCTTTGATAACACTATTCGCCAAGCTTGGGAGCGATTCAAGAAATTACTGCGAGATTGCCCACACCATGGTCAAACAGATGAAGTCTTAGGGAATACTTTTGTAGAAGGTCTAGATGAAGCTTCCAAGATGTACATCGATTCTGCTTGTCGACGTATGTGCATGGAAAAACCGTATGGGAAATCCGAGCCTTGTTGAACAACTTTACTGCAAATGATCAGAACTAGCAAGGGGAAGGAGAACCCAGTAGAGCAATCGGGCCTAAGACAGGTGGTATGATCGAAGTAGATGCACTCACAGCATTGAGAGCTGATGTAGCCAAGATAGCCAATCAGGTTGGGAAGCTCTCTCAAGCACAAGTGCAACCGGTGCAGCAAGTGCAACAAATGCAAGTCTATTGTGAATTTTGTGGGGAAGGTCACACGGGTGACCAATGTCCCACAAATCCCGAGTCAATCTACTATGTAGGGCAACAAGTCAGAGGGCCGACGAATCAAAATGCTCAATATGGTAACACATACAATCCGAACTGAGGAACCATCCTAACTTCTATTGGGGTGGAAATCAGAATAACATACCTCAAGGTAGTTAGAATCAACCACTTAAACCCTCACAGCAAGCAGAGGAGAGTTTGCCTGACATGATGAAAAAGCTCTTGATCGACAATCAGAAAATCATGGCTGACAATCAACAGTTGCACAGAGTTCAAAAATCTAGAGAGGCAGTTTGGGCAAATGGCTAACAATCAGAACACTAGGCCTGCTGGAGCTCTCCCAAGTGATACAGAGAAAAATCTTCAAGTCAATGCAGTGACGTTGAGAAATGGGAGGGAATTAGTAAAAGTGCCTAAGAAGAAAAGGAGTCGCCTGGGCTCGAAGATGAAAGAGTGTCAAAACCTGTAGAGGTAGATGAGAAAAACAAAGCAAAGTCTGAGCATGTAGCACAAAAGGGTGCCACCCCTTTTTCCTCAAATAATGAGAGATAAAAATGATAACCACATGTTTCACAAATTTCTAGATATGCTGAAGCAGATACACTTGAACATCCCTAAGAAGGACATGCTTTGTGATGTCCCAAAATATGCAAAATACATCAAGGATATAGTGGCAAATAAGAGGTTAACTAATTTTGAAACCGTCGCACTTATTGAAGAGTGCACTTTCAAGATTCAACACAAGCTTCCACAAAAGCTTAAGGATCCGGGTAGTTTTACCATCCATGTAAGGATTGGTGAGATCGATGTGGGTAGAGTATGTATGATTAGGGTGCAAGTATCAATCTGATGTCGTTGTCGGTGTTCAAGCAATTGGGCTTAGGAGCTCCGAGACCCACCACGGTGATGCTTCAGTTAGCTGATAGATCTTATGTTTATCCTGAGGGGGTAATTGAGAACATGTTGCTGCAGATTGGAAAGTTTATTTTCCCGCAAATTTTATCATCCTGGAGTACGAGGCTGATGAGCTAGTTCCTATCATCCAGGGACGACCTCTTTTGGCCACTGGAGATGCAATCAGAAAAGTCCGAGAAGGTAAGATGATCATGAGGGTGGACAATGAAGAAGATGTCTTCAATGTGTATGGAGCCATTCAGTTGCCTCGTCACTACGAGGATCTTGCCATGATTTCTTGTATAGGAGATAAATGAACCAACTGTGGAGAGAAGTGCATTTAAAGAAGATGTACTAGAAAAGGCATTGATGTTGTTCAATCATGTGGAACTTGCAGAAGAGGTTGAGGAGATGATGCAAATTCTACATGCATCTTGCGAGTACATAAGAGAAAGATCCGAGTTTGAGCCCCTGGATAGGCCAATCGTCTCC